AAATGTTGCAGGGGAGTGTGCTTTTTACTTAATCTATTTTTTATAATCAGGTTATCGTTTGCAGTTAAATTTATTTATTTATTTTTTCTTTTCTGGAAAATAATGCAAAAGTATTACCCTTCCGTTTATAAGAAGTTTTATTTGTTTATTTATTTGGTCCTTACTTCTGCTTTCATCGTTTTTGATTAATTAATACTTAATCAATGTGCGAATATTTACGTTTTGTTTTACGTTCCATTTAAGTTTTAATTTCCTAAAACGAAGAAATAGAACGGTTGCAAATGTCTGCAGACTTCAAAACCAGGTACAAATTTCCAATCTTGCGGAGGCATACGATGGAAAACACATTGCCTTAATACCACCGGACAATACTGGATTCTTTTATTGCAAATATTTAAGCACAATGGTATTCCCCTGTAACTGAGAACTTAGAGTTTTTAATTGTAGAATGGTTGCATTTCGGACGAGTATGTTAGAAAATACCAGATTACACAGGAAACAAAACAAAACTCTAACTCTGTCAGACAAACTCAAAAACCAAACACAAATTTAATTTCGTTCGGTGAAGCATTGACATTTGACAAACACTTGATGAAACTATATGGAAAACAGGAATTTGATTACGATGCAAAAATTTTCAACTACACGCAGCATACGGGGTCGGAAGGCAAACTATTAAGGTTGCAACCTGCCAGTTGGATGACCCCGTATAGAATCCGAACATATCGATTTCTCGATCCGTCCGGATTCTATACGGGACTAAGAATTTTTCGGAAGCTGGTCTGCCGGATATGTCGGTTCTCGTTCTTTACCACCGGGCTACCCTACTGTGAGTCTGGCCGAACCCATAATGGGCTTGATAAAAAGAAAGGCGTATATACATTTTTAGCTGAGGAATGAGATTGAATTTATCATACTCTCTATGTTTTTCACAGTAATTTTCTCAGAAGTAGCCAATATTTTCCAACTTTTCCTACGCTTCTACTCTTTTATAGTTATTAGTGTATTCTTCTGACTTAATAAATAAAACTTCTGTGTAACTCTAGAAAGCCTGTTGTAAAATTCTAGGACCAAACAACTCGAGACATTTTTAATATAGGACTAAATATAAAAAAGTGCCACGCCACCCTACAAGTTTCCAAGACAACTACAAGCGAACAAATATTATACGCATGCGCCTATCACTCGTTTACACGAAAAGTACAAATACACCTTCACTCTTCTTTCATTCCAGTCCACGACACACAGAATTCAACTAGAGTCGTCGTGCGAGCCGGCGCTTGAAGGGGACGTGAAGCTTGGAATGAACATTGTACAGTACATTGTACAGTCGAACATTGAATAAATACTCAGTCGTGTTGTGACTGATATTGTAAGATCAGCTTAACACTGAAGTATAATAATAATAAATTTTATTATAGGCCTATTTATTATGTAAGATGTTCAAGTTAGTTCAGCTATTTACATACTTTAAGGAAGAATTTTAAAGATATTTACAAATTCCCAAATAACTAATATCTGGAGATTCCAAAAATTTTTAAGTACTTCCATAACTGCGAAATTACTGCTGAGAAAAGGCTCCAGAACTCTACAAGTTAAAAAAAAAATGTATTCTCATTCTAACACAATCATGAATAACACCACAATAGGTACCAGTACATAGCTTTACACTAAATTATTTAAATATCTTATACAATAACAGTAATTTTGGAACAAAAAATTAATATATATATACCTAAAAATGTTTGACGTTTCAAATATCGTTTCAAAATCAAGAAAATTTACATCTCGATATAACATGAAAATAAACATGAGTTTTTAATATTGCATTAATCCATATTTAACTCCTTTGCGACTTTCCAATTTTTGATATTAATGTAATTAAACATAAAAAATACTTAAAACTGAAAAAACGAAAGAAATGCGTTAATTAATTTTGAAGAAAAAGCGTCAAACTTTATTTTCCATTGTCTCGCCTTTCTGCGAAATTTGATACCGATGAGTCATTGTTTACACAGCTGGGTGACCTCGAGAACAGCTGGTGTCGGATTTCCCGGGTCATTCTCATAGACGTCTCGGGAGGACAAGGGTTTAAAGTAGGGTAAATAGTAGCTGGCCGTATATTTTTAAATATTTTTGAAAAATTAAAATTTTTATTGCGATTTCCGACCCCCCGACTTAATTAAACTTATATATAATAAAATCTATTAATTAAAAAAATTAAAAAACTATTGGAGGTCGTTTTTGATATCAGAAAGTAGGTTTAAATAACTTTACCGAAGTAAAATCCGTGCACTACAACTTTAGAACAATGAATGAAATTTGATTAAAAAATCGCATTAAAAACAATTCAGCGTTACTCGAGCGTCATTAAAAGTAAATTAAAATCGCGATAAAATTAATTAATTAATTAATTACATACATTACATCAAATAACTATATTTAATTACATTGCACAATAGACAAAACATTTAATACACTACGCTTTTAAGATAAAATTAATGTTGACTGTAATGATTACAAATATAAATTCTACTCATTTGATTTTAATTTTTTTAATTTTACGGCTCGAAGATGTTTTTTTTTCTGAGATTGGAAACCACTTATCATTTTAACAAGATTATTCCACATAATTTTACAACTATAAAGTTTGATTTTCAGTCGAATTTGCAAAGACATTCACCAAAAACATTAAATGACGATAGAGATAAATATCGATCGAGTCGAATATTACTAACCTTACGCGCAATCGATAACCGACGTTTTGTACTTAATTCATAAATTTCGGGACACATTTTTATTGTTTGCCTTGTGAACCATTAATTTAATTAAGCAGCGATTGCAATAGTAGCACATTCGGTAGACAAAGTTAATTTTTCTCTGTCGAGACGAAAAACTAATTCGTTAGGAAATGAAGTGCTACAGAATTGGCTGGAATCAAATGATTCCAGCCAATTCTGACAAATAATTCATTAATTTTTCATTAATTATTTTTCAGTGTATAGCTTGAAATATATGTTAAAATTAGTAACACAGATTGAAATACATTTTGGAAAGAAAATTCTTTCCGAAATATCGTATAAAATGGATCTATATTAACAGAATTTTTAAAGTTTTCTTTGCTGGGTAATACTGTTTTTAATCGAATATTGTGACTTTTTTAAGATAAATTACAAAACTTATAAATCTTAATTTTTTCGCTTTCTAATAACTGCGATAACTGATGTAATTATTAGACCCACTTATTAACTGCCCGTAAAGTCCAAATCGTTCCTCTATGTTATCGTTCTGAAATTTCGATAACGGAAAATAGTCTAAATTGTAATTATCAAACATATACGAATTCGGTTTTACAAAGGCTGCATTTCTTATAATTAATGCCCGCAATGTTTGAGATGTTAGCGTGTCGATACCAGCAATGTTAATTTCCACTTTTTTATCCATAAAATCATTTGACTAAGAAAATCAATTTATTTATTTTTATCAATTTATTAAATATTTGTTGTTTTTACTGCTTCCCTAACTTACGTCTTTTGAGCAAGATCAGTCCGTATTGGTTATCTGATGTTATTTCAAATAAATTTCAAAATTATAACGTCTGTTTACTTGATATATTAAAATAATTCATAGAGAAATGTTATTTCTTTATTTTCACAACCTTTACAGATGATTTTACCGTGATTACCGCAAATGTGGTTATTTCATTGGTTGCACTCGTTTTCATTTCCGAAAAATGAGTTGATCTCTTTGTCACATTTTTCTGGCTGCATTGTACCTCGAACTCGACTTTCTGTTTTAATTCCGTAGCGAGAAATTCTTAAGCCGCGCTTATCCGACAACGGTCGATGATATATAAATCCATTTATCGAATCAAAAAAATCACACAACAGTAAGAGACTAACGCTTAAAAATCCAGCAACGACTCGCGTAACTTTTGCGTAACGAGATTTTATTATAAAATAACTTTATATTATTAATTAAAACAAAATTATTAAAATGATTTAATTTTGAGGATTGAGACGAGTATTATAAAAATTGTCAACGCTAATAACGAGTATCTTCATTAAACCCGATCCCACTGGAGACAAGAAAAGTGACCACTCCATTTCCCCAGCCCCTCGAACTTTAACCACCAAAATTTAATAGCATCGATTCATCTAATACGTGAACCTCCCCGAAAACTTTTATAAATTTTCGACAAAAGACACAGAAGTTCAAAGTGGGTGAAAAAAAAAATTGTGTTTCTCACACAAACATTAATATAAATAAATACAGAAAAAAAAAATCCGATTTTTGTATTTCTAGACGTTTTCCCTCGAAACCCTCGAGTTCAAACATGTAAAAACTTGAAGTGTCAATTTTTGACCGATGGCCACATTTTTCCACTATATAACAGCGGGAAATGTAAAAATGAAAGCTACTAAAAACTAAGTTTCTTCTGTACGGGGTTGCCACGCATATTCAATTTTTTTAAGTATAAATTTTATTTATAAAGCCTCCGGAAATTATTTAACACCCACATCACCCCCCTCCGTAAGAAGGCCAGGGTACTCGATTGTTACGGTGTCGAGTATTACGTAAGCCAGGTCCAGGCCTGCGCCGTTAATGGACGTATTTATAATAAAGAATTCCGCACATAGCAATTTTCTTATTGTACTGTACTGTACGTCCTTAATGCATTTTCCTTAATGCATTTTCCTTAATGCACGTCCTGTACTTTTCGCTATTACGGCCTAGTATTAAAATTTAATGACGGCAACTATTTATTAATGAGATAAGGCCGGGGAGACTTTTATTGTTTGTTTCGAGCAAAGGCTAACGGATCAATTTTAATTGTTATTTGAGTAGCCCCTTGTTTTGTCTATACGTCTGGCGGCCTTCTAATAAACATCTCTAACCGTAGTTTATTCGTACATATTTGAGGTTTCCATGTTTTGGTTAGTTCAAACATTTTTATCTCAAATTATTTAAATTGTTCTTACGCAAGCCGCTTCGTTTCTTATAAAACTTTCATTTGACATGTTTACGACAAGCGTGTCGTTTTGTAATAAATATCGCATCCAACTATGCGATGCTATTAAACATCTTAATGCAAGTTCATTCATTCGATTCCGATTATGACGTGGGAAATGACGATGCATTAGCCACGATGCAATTACCGCTGATATCGACGAAAGAACTTAATTAAACTAGCGCAGTAAAGAAATAATTAAAAGACGTCCGAAAAAGGTAGGTGTCTCTTTTGTAAGAAAGAACAATAAAGCTCGGTAGTGTTTGTTCTTCGTTAGGATAAATTTATTGGTTATCGAAGCGTCGCATTTAAACGCGATTTCACCTTCAAAACAAAAGTAATAATTTGTCCATAATTAGTTGAAAGCGTCTGACATTAATAAATCCCGTCGTCACGTCTTTTAATAACTGACTTTTTAATACAAAAATTTCTTTACCTTGCGAGTTTTAATTTTTTCTCGATTTTAATTATTATTGACTAACTTTTTGAATTATCTGAAATTGTAGATATTTTTTTTTATTAAGATTATTACTTATTTATAGGTTTTTCTTAGATTCTTATGTATAAAATATAATACAATTCAAAAATTAATTGAATATTATCGGAAATGCTAAAGTATAAGGGCAGTGTGTTTTACAATATTATTGAGAACAGATATAGTCAATTATTTTATAAACATATTTAATTATTTTAATTTTTATAAATTATTTAATTTGATGCGATGCCACGCTCTCGGAATCGATTGATTACCGTGGCGCGTTTGTTAAATATGACGGCGGGTCTCGATTCAATTACTTTTTCATTTCGGACGTTAATTAGAGAGTAAACATTATGACTAGAGTTACATTAAAATATGTTTATTATTAAATCTACATAGGAATAATATCTATGACTGACTTTATTTAAAAAATAAAAAATAACAAAAATGTAATAGAAAAAAATACGTTTATACAATACAAAAATGTACTACTTCTATTCTACTTTTAATACAAGATTTATATAAATAACTAGCTGTTACTCGCGACTTCGTCCGCGGAGGTTTTGCAAGCAAACCCCATTTACATTCAATATTTCAATAACCATAGTAATCGTTAGGTGTATATAACACCTACCGCTGAAGAGAATTGCCGAGAATCAAACCAACTATTTTCAATTTGATCAATTTTCTGGAGCGTTTACAATCGTTCTATAATTGAACCAATATAGTCTTGTAATTATGAAACATATACGAATTCGGTTTTACAAAGGCTGCATTTCTTATAATTAATGCCCGCAATGTTTGAGATGTTAGCGTGTCGATACCAGCAATGTTAATTTCCACTTTTTTATCCATAAAATCATTTGACTAAGAAAATCAATTTATTTATTTTTATCAATTTATTAAATATTTGTTGTTTTTACTGCTTCCCTAACTTACGTCTTTTGAGCAAGATCAGTCCGTATTGGTTATCTGATGTTATTTCAAATAAATTTCAAAATTATAACGTCTGTTTACTTGATATATTAAAATAATTCATAGAGAAATGTTATTTCTTTATTTTCACAACCTTTACAGATGATTTTACCGTGATTACCGCAAATGTGGTTATTTCATTGGTTGCACTCGTTTTCATTTCCGAAAAATGAGTTGATCTCTTTATCTCTTTGTCACATTTTTCTGGCTGCATTGTACCTCGAACTCGACTTTCTGTTTTAATTCCGTAGCGAGAAATTCTTAAGCCGCGCTTATCCGACAACGGTCGATGATATATAAATCCATTTATCGAATCAAAAAAATCACACAACAGTAAGAGACTAACGCTTAAAAATCCAGCAACGACTCGCGTAACTTTTGCGTAACGAGATTTTATTATAAAATAACTTTATATTATTAATTAAAACAAAATTATTAAAATGATTTAATTTTGAGGATTGAGACGAGTATTATAAAAATTGTCAACGCTAATAACGAGTATCTTCATTAAATCCGATCCCACTGGAGACAAGAAAAGTGACCACTCCATTTCCCCAGCCCCTCGAACTTTAACCACCAAAATTTAATAGCATCGATTCATCTAATACGTGAACCTCCCCGAAAACTTTTATAAATTTTCGACAAAAGACACAGAAGTTCAAAGTGGGTGAAAAAAAAANTTTAATTCTCTTCGATATTAAAACATTTATCAATTAATACAGCCTTATTGTTAAAATAAAATTAATTTACTAAGATTTACTAAGATTAAGATTGATAAGATTTGTGATCGAAAAATTAATTTTGTTGTCTGAAATAATTTCATTCAATAAATTTTTATTTGTAATTTTAATTTATTCGATAGTAATTTACTCAAAAAATTAATTTTGTGATCAAAGCTGCCCAAATCACTACTACTGATAACTGTGCAACGCCAGGGCCCTTAGTCTCGAGTTTTCTGTGTTTTACTCGAACTGACGTCATTCAACTCACTCGTGTTATTATAACTCACATAATCGGTAGTCTCGAGTTAGACCCGTCGAGCGAACTCGAAAAGCGAGAGGAAAAACGTCATACTCACTCGGTTACGTATGTCGTTAAGCACGATAATGATTCGACCAATCAACTTAACTGTAACAAGTTGTAAACAAATCAACGCGAATTAATTTACACGCGTTATAGTTAAAAGTTTTGTCTTATAACAATAAACAAAATGGAAACCTCCAATGTTTTATTTTAAAAAAAATAGCGAAAAGAACGAAAAGAAATATCAGTAACATATATAGAAAATAATAAGAAAATAAACAGTGGAAAATTCGACAACGAATTTACGAGAAAAAGACAATTCGGTTTGTGGAGAGAATTAGTTGAAAATTAATTGTATATTAAAGCTAAAAAATCCGTCGTGCAATGGAAAAAGTATTTTAATTTAATCCTTTTTTCGTATAGTTTTCTTCCTCGATCTATTTCTTAACTTGTTTTGTCTATTAAGATTATTTATTAATCAGAACTTAACACTTCTGATTAATAANAATTTCGAAAAATCCCTTCTTAGTGTGCATTCTCATGACATACCCTACTACAACGCAGATAAAAACAGAAAATTGCATCTAAAATATACGGTAGAAGCCGTTCTTCCGGTTAAGCCTTAATCCTCTCCCTCTCCCCCCAGCGGGGGAATTTCGAAAAATCCCTTCTTAGTGTGCGTTTCCATGACGTACCCTAACTGTCTACCAAATTTCACCTCTTTAGGTTAAGCGGTCTGCTCTGGGCGATGATGAATCAGTCAGTGAGTGAGTGAGTCAGTCAGTCAGTCAGTCAGGACAAGCAATTTTATATATTTAGATAACTAAGATATACACCATGTATTGGTAATACAAAAAACTGTGTACGTTTATACATTCTACATTATACAATGTTAAAACTTTATGCACTATACAGTACATCTTGTATTGCAAGAATTATAAATTGTGTGTACAAAAAATTAATTATTTATTTCTATGTAAAAAATAAAGTATTGCTTTCGCGGACTTTTATTGATATATATCAACAAATGAACAACTTTTATTGATATATATCAATAAAAGTTGTTCATTTGTTGGATACTCCATCCAAAAGGTCCTGTCTGCTAAGTCCGTGAAAACAACCCCTCGCGCTTAACACAGAGAATAAAAGAAATACAGAAAAAAAGCAATATAAAAAATGAATACAGTACGTTTATATAGTGCAATCTTTCTAATTCTATGGTAGTTTTTAAACTTTCTATATATGATTAACATAGAGTATGTGATGTGAGTGCTGACTACAAAAGTATTTATTACATCGGAAACATCGATTTGTCGTCTTCCTGTTCTTTTTATAACCGCAATCCAGTAGCGTAGCGAGGGGGTGCAAGGGGGTCTCCGAGACAAACTATACGTGTTTCTGGAGGGGGGAAGGGGGCGCCAATAAAGTATCGTGCCCCGGGCGCCAGTTATGTTCGCTATGTCACTGCCGCAATCAAAACAGAATGATAGTTTCCGTGATGTTGCCGCCACGGATGTTAATGCTGCTGATGTCCCTGTCAATGCTGTGCTGATTCCGATTCAGATGCTTCATGTTGCAACTTAGAAAATTGAAAAGCTGTCGTCCTTGTTTCTGGGTAAATTTTTCTTTTGTGCACATAATTTTAATTGCGGGGTCATTAGTTCGATCGATAGTAAAATATCTTATAATGGCTATAAACATTCATTTCAATACTGAAAAGTGATACGAGCACGGGTCGCGGGTATTATTTTACAAGTTCGATTGCTTTATCAATGGGAATCGGGGCCGTGCGGTAGATTTTCGTTGCGGCAAAAAGATTGTTTTGACTGACTGACTGAGTAATTATGGCAAACGCCGACGACACAAAATATTAGGTTTATATTGTTGTATTTCTTATATTTAACCCACATTTAGCTAATATTCTATTTTTTTTTTTGTCATTTCATTTCCATTTGTAACAAAAAAAGTTTGAGTTAATTTGTCTCATTAATGGATATAATAGATATTAGGATTTCTCAAACGGGACCCGGTTGTTTTTTTAACCGAGAAATATTTCGGGAAATTTTTCTCATTCCACAAATTTCTTAAAAATTCAATTTCTTCTGATTTTGTATTAACGTTGAGGAAATTTTGCGAATAGAAAGTATAATTAACTCATAAACGGTCAGAATACATTTCTATTTATTAATTTTAAACATACTTATTAGATTTTTAAATTTTTGCTCGTTATGGCGTGTCACAAATGGTCAATAATCAATATGTAGATTATTTGTGGCAAGACTCGGAAAATTCTTTACTTGTCAGAACCTGTAATATATGGAATACTTGTGCTTACGCTGTCTTAATTTTTACCATGCCCGGTAGCTTCAATAAAAGTAGTAGTGGTTTGGGCAGCTTTGATCACAAAATTAATTTTTTGAATAAATTACTATCGAATAAATTAAAATTACAAATAAAAATTTATTGAATGAAATTATTTCAGACAACAAAATTAATTTTTCGATCACAAATCTTAATTCTATTTTAACAATAAGACTGTATTAATTATTAAATTTAAATTTTATTTTATTTTAACAATAAGTTTAATTATTAAAATGTTTTTATAACTTTGAATTAATACAGTATATTCTTTCTAATTATTATAAAATTAATTTGCAATAATTTCAGATAAAAAATTTCTTGAATAAATTAAGATAATAAATATTTATAAAACTTTCAATTCATTTTCATAAAATATCTTGT